TATGCTCGAAATATCAACTTCCCTTTTTTTTTTTATCTTTGTCATTGGACAAAATTGGACAGATTATAATATGACTACCATACTACACATGTATTAGGCAGATTTACTTTAATGTTAGTTGTGTTGTAAGCCGAAGAATATTACAAATTGCATAGCATACATTTGATTCTGTTCGTCTTCCTTCACGACGTAATTCATAATGCACGCGAACCTCTTGAGCAGCTTCTGAAATACACATCATATGCATTATATAAATCCTTTAAAATAAAAAAAATATGAATATGATAAATAAACATGTAAATGACGCTACATACTGTATTATTTTAAGGTGGGCCAGCCAAACATTAGGTCCTGATTAAATTTGGGAAACTAAAATTGAGACTGTTCACACAGTTGCAATTTTTTACAGTAGGCCGATGATTTCCACGTTTTGAAACAAGCAACATGCTCCTGGTTTTATTCCCAATTGCTCTTTAGTGTATTGAATTAGTGTTACCACCTACAAACGTCTATGTGTATGATATTACATATCATGCAATTTAATAACATAACACAGTAATTTATAATAATATGAAATGTCATGGTACTGAATTTTCGCGTGATGATCTAGTATATTAACGCGCCAAAGTCATTAACCTTCTGTTCAACTTCTTTGCTAGTTAAAGTGACACTTTCACGAGCTGATTTCTGAAATTACTGTACATTGGAGTTCAGAATCTTCTTTATAGGCCTATGCCTATTTAAAAAACATCCTGAAGAAACCATCCTTGAATGGTTGTTGAGCTGCACGTAGCGCTTAATCACGTTTACCTCCGACGCGATCTCAGAATGTTGGATAGGGCATGCTGTTCGTCTGAAAAAAAGTCTGAGCTTACAAGATAGTCACTTTAAGGGTCGCTGAATATGCTCGCGAATCGATAGAAGTTGATCACATTACTGGCAGATGATACAATTAAATTTGTTTTTCCTTGACATCGTGTTCAACTGGTAGCCTTTGATCGATCAACGACGGGTTGCAGTGGTTGGATCGATATCAAAACGAAACTGTCAACATCTAGGAGAAGTGATGATTTAAAGTTGATTTGAGGCCACGCTTAATACATCAAAATATTCTCCCACCCATTATCAACAAGGAATTTCAACGAACTTATTAACCCTTTTGCAATATATTACTTTCTATTATTTATTAATACTG